CCACTCTCTCCCTATTTATTTCAAAACCCCCTTCCCCTCCCCCTTTGCTGATGAAGGGTCTAGACCCGAAACGTCAGCCTCTCTGCTCCTATGATGCTGCTTGGCCTGCTGTGTTCATCCAGCCCTGCACCTTGTTGTCTCTAACATCCTAGTAAACCTTTTCTGTACCCTCTCCAAAGCGTCCACATCCTTCTGGCATTGTGATGACCAGAACTGTACGCAATATTTCAAGTGTGGCCTAACTAAAGTTCTATGAAGCTGCAGCATAACTGTCCTTATACTCAATACCCCTTCCAATGAAGGCAAGCATGCCATAGGCATGTGTTCTCCCTCGTATGATTGAGCCTTTCAATTGAAAAATCCCTTTTGATTACCCAATTAGAGAACTGTAATGCGTTTTCCAGAACACATGATCAGGTGAATTGTCTAGCCTTAGCTTTGGGAGGTCTCTTTGTGTACAGTGGTAGTGTCCCTACCTCTGGGCCAGACAGCCTTGGTTCAAGTCCCACCTACTCCAGAGGTTATGGCATAACATTGCTGAGCATGTTGACTGGAGTTCTAACATTAACATTTCCTGCTTACAAAAGATATTTCTCAGTCACTGATGGATACGTCTTTGCTTCAGAAATAATAGGCTCTCCTCGGTAGCCTTGGTCCATATCCCGTTCAGAATGGTTTGGGTTGGTCTTTACCAAATTGAAACCACAGATTTCCAAAATCGTTGGTCGTGCTCCTCATTTGGATCTCACCGCGGTTACCAAAGCTGAGGGAGTACAACATGGCGGGAATGGTGGGGCACCATCACCATGGAAACCGCTTCCTGCCTGGGAGTGTCACATGGACAAGGGCATTGTGCATCCATGGGACCCGTACTCATGGTGGAGCTGTGGAGCTACCTCCCTGACTGAGTATTTCATCAAACAGCAGCACAGAGCAAAGGAGATGGATGGAAGGCTGGCTTGCATGGTGAACACAGCCCAGTCCATCACACGAACCTGCCCTCCATCCATTGGCTCCCATCTATACTTCCTGCTCCCTCGGGAAAGCAACCAACATAATCAACCCTCCCCCTCCCACCCTGGTTATACTCTCTTCTACCCTCTTCCATTGGGCAGAAGCTACAAAATTTTGAATACACGTATGAACGGCTTGAAGAACAGCTTCTTCCCTGCTGTTATCAAACAATTGAACAAATCTCTCAAATGCCAATGTTGATGTCTCTCTCTACACCTTCTCTGTTGCTGTAACACTATTCTGCAGTCTGTTCTGCTAACCTGATGCACTTAAAACAACAATTTTCACTGTATCATGTGATAACAATAAATCGATCAATCAATCAATGCTGTCATATCGCATTATGGCCTAGTTTGTAGATGGTGCCCTGTCACTGGTTTTAATGAGGTGCAGTGAAGTAGCTGTCTGTGCACCAGGAAGAGGAACCAAGAACAGCCAGCTATCTGCTACCTATGGCATCAGGAGGAAGCCGGGGAGCCATTACAGACACAGTTGAGGGACGGTGCTGAGGAAGGGTCACTCGACCCGAAACGTTAACTCTGATGACCCTCCATAGATGCTGCCAGACCTGCTGAGCTTTTCCAGCAATTTCTGTTTTTGTTTCTGTTTTACAACATTCGCAGTTCTTTTAAGTTGAAGGACAGTGTTTTGTCTCTCTCACCTGCACACTGTTTCTCGGAACTCCGTTGCCCACCCCCACCGTTGGGAGAACTAGAAAGGAGCCATCTCTAAAGTAAGAAGGATATGTTCTAGTATAGGCGCGGTGAATAGGAAGTGCCTTTCACTGTGAGCACAGGCCCAGTGTACTTCCAGTGGCTGAAGCTAGCAGCAAGTACTTCATCAAATGCAGGACCTGACCTTACAGCGCACCTCCCTTGGCTCAGTATAAAACGAAAAGAATGAGTTATTTTTGTGACTGAATATTAAATAAGCTCTTCCTGCCTTACCTAGCCTACTTCCGATCGATCAAAGCAGCACTTTGGGGAGCGGCCAAATATTTATTTCCTGGAACTTGGAACCAAAGTGAATGCAGGTCGAGCTGCCGACGTGACTGTTGCCCTGATGTAAAGAGGGCCCCTGTGGTGGGTGGGGCAATGGACTTCTGAAATCTCCCACTTGCTCTTTACTGTTCACTGCCTTTCAGCATTAGGGGGTCTCACATCTTTAACTGGAACTAGCCCCGAGAATTCTGCTCGACTTCCATCACCTCCTGTCACTTTGCAACATGGCCCACCCACTTTCTCTCTCTCCGTCCTTTGAAAACCATTGGTTTGGCCACTTTTGGAATACTGCATTCAAGTCTGGTCTCCCTGCTACAGGAAAGATGTTGTTAAACTTGAAAGGGTTTGGAAAAGATTTACAAAGATGTTGCCGGGACTAGAGGGAGAGGCTGAATAGGCTGGGGCTATTTTCCCTGGAGCGTCGGAGGCTGATATTCCATGTTTTGCCACTCCAGTGCGGGTGTCTCCCCTCCGGTCAGTGTCCCACTTCATTCAAATGATATCACATTCACAGCATAGAAACAGGCTATTCTGCCCAGCAAGTCCATTCTGGTGTTTATACTCTGCGCAGGTATCCTCCCATTCTATCAACCTCAGCTTTCATCATTGGTTCTGTTCCTTTTTTCCCATGTACATCTCATTTTCATTGGATATTTGCCCTGTCACAGCAAGTGCTACATTCTAGCCACTCACTGTGTTATAACAGTTGTCTTGCTTTACTGTTGGATTTATTAATAACTATTCTTATATTAGATGGGGCAGTCAGTTTTGGATTCTCTTTGGAGTGAAACTACTCTGTCCATATCTATCCTGTCCAAACCGTTCATAATGTCATATTCCTCAAACGATATCTTTGCTAAGCTATAAACAAACCTATTCCATTTAACTCAGTTTTTGTAATCTTGCTGTTCAACACTATTGTTATAAATCAGTTTTGCATTTTCTCCCATGTCTCTTTTACAGTTCAGGGGATTAGAACCTTGTATTCCGCTCTTAATTCAGTCAGAACAAGTTCACTTATAAATTTAACACCATTTCGCTATTTTTGATTTCTGTGCCCCTCGAAATGAATCCCAGTGCTTAGTAAGCATTTTTAATTGCATCACTAAGCTACAATGCGGCTGTAATGAAAGACCAGATTTGTTGGAAATATTCTGCAAGTCTGCCTGACTAACTGAGTCTGTCTAGTATTTTATTTCTAAGACAGGCAGCATCTACAGTGTTTCATTCTTGTGTGCTGCTTCTGCTGGATTTGTTCACCTGTCTGCATTTCTGTTTGTTTGTTCGACCCCCAAAAGTTTTTTATTTTCTAAAATGTAAGTGATGTTTCGGCTTTTCCTATCATAGTGCATCATCTCGTACTCCCCTACATTTATTCACTACATCACTCCAAATTTGACTTCTTCAGCAAATTTTGACTTGGGTACAGTACCTCAAATCTAGCACTGAGTCATAGAGCCATGAAATACGGAAACAGACCCTTCAGCTCAACTAGTCTATGCTGACAGTGTTCCCAAACTAAACTAGTCTCCCTTGCCTGCATTTGGGCCATATCCCTTTAAACCTTTCTTATTCACGTAATTGGCCAAATGTCATTTAAGCATTGTAACTGTACCTGCATCCACCACTTCCTCTGGGAATCCGTTGCACACACTAACTACACTCAGTGTAAAAACAGTTGCCCCTCATGGCCTTTTCAAATCTTTCTCCTCTCACCTTCAAAATACGCCCACTAGTTTGGAACTCCCCAACTTTAGTGAAAAGACCTTTGCTTATTTGCCTTCTCTATGCCTCTCATGATTTTAAAAACTCTGTGAAGTCACCCCTCAACCTCTCTCACTCCAGTGAAAAATGTCCCATTTTTACAACTCAAACCCTCCATTCCCGGCAACATCCTGGGGGCAGCAGGGTTTTGTGGTACATACCAGCAGATAGAAGCCACTTATCTGAGGCTGGCATGTTCTGCTCGTCCTTCACACAGACTGACTGCCCCTCATATTGACTGACAGGGACAGACTTTGGAGAAATTAAGACCATCATTCCAGACTCTCAATACTTCGAAGCCTGTTTGTGCTCCTGGTTTTGATTGGTCGGAATGTGTACAGCAGATTTTGCACAGAAAGGTTGCAAATTTAACATTGCTGGATTTCAGAGTCCACAGTTCCCTCTGAGGGATCCTATACACCGAGGTGACCTAGTATCACTGGAACCTATCGAACAGATTCTTGCTGAGATACTCTGATTCTGCTTAGAGTAACTTATTCTGATGCAGAGTGTGCATAAATTGAGATGTACCTTGTTGTAAGTGTCACGTACTGGGGGTGGGGGAAGACGGATGCTTCCCAAAGCTCTCCATCATCAGGACTTTATGTCTAGGTCTGTTCCAAGCTAATAGACATCGATAGCTTGGTAGGATCAGTCAATGGCTGCAATATCATTGTACTGCCGGTGCTAGGATGGATGAAGGTGATGTTCTTTTTTATTCATTGATGGGATGAGGGCATCGCTGGTTAGGTAGCATTTATTTCCCATCCCTAATTGCCCAGAGGACAGTTAAGAGTCAACCACATTGCTGTGGGCCTGGAGTTACATGTAGGCCAGACCATGTAAGGATGGTGGTTTCCTTCCCTAAAGGACATTAGTGAACAAGATGGGCTTTTCTGACAATCAACAATGGATTCATGGTCATCATTAGACTGTTAATTCCAGCCGTTTATCGAATTCAAATTCCATCATCTGCTGTGGTGGGATTCGAATCCGGGTCCCCAGAACATTATCTGGGTCTCTGGATTCACAGTCCAGCGATTAATACCACTAGGCCATTGCCTCCCCTATTGAGATAAGACTGCAGCCAATTTTTCTGTCTCTTGCCCATCCCAGGTTGCCCCTGCCATCCCGTCTGTCCATGTGAACCCCCTCTTGCTGACTATGGTCAGAGACACTCCATCAGTGCAAACAGTGATTGTTACTCTGTTTTCCTCCTAGATGGACTGAAGGCTGAGGACAGGCAGAGACTTGCAAGACAGCGCAGGGAGGAACGGGCAAAAACTCTCGGTAAGTGTACAGTTCTGGTCGCCCTGCTACAGTAGGAAATTATCACATTGGAGAGGGTGCAGAAAAGACTTACCAGGATGTTACCAGGTCTGGAGGGTTTGATATAAAAATAGGCTGGGACTTTCTTCCCTGGGACGTAGGAGGCTGAGGGGTGACCTTATTGAGGTTTATAAAATCATGATGGACACAGATAACGGTGAATAGCAAAGGTCCTTTCCCCGGGGTAGGGGAGTTCAAAAGTAGAGGGCATAGATTTAAGGTGTGAGAGGAAAGATTTAAAAGCAACCTAAGGGATAACTTTTTCATACAGAGGGTGGTGAGCTGCCAGAGGAAATGGTAAAGGTGAGTACAATTACAACATTTAAAAGACATTTGGATAGCTACATGGATAGGAGAGGTTTAGACGGATATGGGTCAAAAATGGGCAAATGAGACTAGTTCAGTTTAGGAAACCTTGGACAGCATGAATAAGTTGGACCAAAGGATCCGTTTCCATGTTGTATGACTCCACGGCTCTCTATTACTCTGACTTGCTTCACCTTGTTTGAGTAAGGTGAGATTTTGTGGAGCTGGGTTGAAGTATCAAAGGTCAACGCATGGTCGTCGTTTATATGATATAGTGACACCCTTTCTGCCCTATGATTGGTTCCTGGAGAACAGAGATTCCGAATCGATGACCGATGTGAGTTTGAGACCCTGAAAGGATTCTGGAACATTCTGACTGTTTTCCCAGAAATTGACTGAGCAGAGGGATGTACCAAACTCAACTGGCAGTCTTGACCTTTGCACTCATAAAGGGAATGCCACAAACATTGTTCTGACCTTGAGGTGCCAACGAGAGTTGGCACTTACCTCACCAACAGTTGGGCATGGTGAAATGACCAAATTGGATTTGATAGGCCAAATGGCCTCATGCTGTTCCGTAATGACTGTGACAACACAGCTATAACTTATGTCTAAATACTGCAGGAAGGTCACCTGTTGAAGAAGGGAGGAATTGTAAACTCCATCCTACAAATCTTTTGTTCATGGTTAGATCTGTGATGCACTGAACATTACAAAGTGATCTTGGTGATACAGTTGTGCTTACTAAGGCTGGCTCATTTTTGAAATGCAGCTGATTGTTTGGGGAATTGAAAGATCACAATAGCCTTTAATTTTCTGGCTCCCAGTGAAGGTCATGCAGATTTAGAAGCTCAAGGATGAATTTAAATGTGCTTACAAAACAGCTTGTTCCTGTTGCATAAAGATTTTTGCTGAACATCAAGGTGTATTTCTGTAAATGTGCCAATTCTCGAATCTGTGCCAGTTAGGTAACCTCATCGAAACAACTTGCCAGTTCTTTGATGTTTGACTAGATCTCGTGTCTCTGTTTCTTTTCACGGCAACAGTGTATGTCATGACCAACCTCAGAAGGACATCCCTTTCCACATTATTTTAATGCTAAAGGACAACAAAGAATCATCAAACAGGCCAGTAGTAAATAAAGTTATGGAACTTGTGTGACGGTTTGGGGTCAGTGCAGGAGTGGGAGGGGAGGTTAAACACATAACTAAACAGAATGCTTTTTGAGGGCAGGAAGGGAGGTAGAATTGGAACGAGACTCTAACAGACGGCCAAATTGATTGAATCTTGGATCTCTAGTGCAGGATTGAGCAGCACATTGGCTCAGTGGTTAGCATTGCTGCCTCTCTGCGCCAGGGAACTGGATTCGATTTCAGCCTCGGGCAACTGTCTGTGTGGAGTTTGCGCATTCTCTTCGTGTCTGCGTGAGTTTTCTCTGGGTGCTCCGGTTTCCTCCCACAGTCCAAAGGTGTGCAGATTAGATGGATTGGTCACAGTAAGTTGCTCATAGTTTCCAGGGATGTGCAGGCTAGGTGGATCAGCCATGGAAAATGCGGGGTTACAGGGATAGGGTAGTCGGGTGGGTCTGGGTGGGATTCTGTTTGGAGGGTCAGTGAGTTTCGATGG